TCCACCCTTCTTTCCTCCCTTCTCATCAAGCTCTCACACTTCCCTTCAGCAAAACTGTGTTGATAAAGGTGTCAGCTCCTTTCTTGCTGTTACACAGTTGTGGCTTCCATTTTGGCAAACTTGTTTGCTATTTTGTGGCTTTGCAGCATTTGACACATTTCACAGCATTTTGATGTGTTGCACTTCAGTATAAAATCTTGTAGTCACATTTTCCAAGTGCACAAAAAGTGCCTGTTAATACAATATTACAAAGGGACCTGAAAGGTTCCTGAAAATAACTCATTTTACAGTATGTGAAAGGGGTCAGGTTCAACTGAAATATTTGATTTATACTGCATTTACTTTGAATGTGATCTTGTATCAGGACTGAATAGGAACAACATAATTTAGAGCTCAAGTCAATTTAACATTTAATTTCATTATGCACTTACAGTGCTATGATTACTGGCTGTTGTTTGCACTTATTTAATTAACTGGGAATTTCTTCAGAACTGTTGCTTTGGAAGAGAAGATGTGACTTAAGCGAGCTGTTTAGAGGTCTCACTGTCAGAGAAAGCACTGGTTTACGGTTTTCATTTGCATTCAAGATACGATAGAATTGCTTTTTCAGTTTGACAAAAAAATACAACTCCTTTCAAAAACTGAAAAACAACCCCCCCCTTTTTTTTTTAAATGCCCAGAGAGTTGATTGTCTGGGTGAAAACAGTAGAACTTTCCAGGGATAGACCAGGCTGCACAGTGGTCAAACACTTGTCATTGCACTGCAAGACTCCCAGATGGGCAGCATCAAAGAGACCTCAGAAACTGGGAAACAGCTGCATGGCATGTCTGAATAGCTGAAGGTTCTATTTGTGACAGTTAGATTATCCTTTTTTTATTTTTAGGCATCAGATAAACCCTTATATAAGCTAGGTGAGTCATGGTGAGAGCTACAGACAATGAGGGAATGTGGGAGGGGTTGAGAATAACAGAAAGGACAGGCAGATTAACCCATCTCGCATTCAGCCAGATAAAAGATACTAACGGCTTGAATGGTGGGAACATCACAAATCACTCACAGATCTCATGTTGGACCACTGAGGTGGGATTACACAGAGATCACAAGTCCGGACTGTCCAAGCATAATAAAGCAGCAAGAAAGAGGAAAGCAGCTCAATTAAAAACAGTGATGCAAGATATTAAGAAGCAATGAATGAAACAATGGTTTGGAGGGAATATATGAATTTAGAGTTTTCCAGCGTTTTTTCCTAGCCTCCTTATATGGTCAAAGCTTTGCAGAGGAATCATTGCATATATAGTCAGTGAGTCTGGACTGGAGTATGCGTACGAGTTACAAACAAAAAGCCCGTAAACACTGCATGTACTGGTACACTGAACAACTACACTTTTACTCCCTCTTTTTTTCCTCATATCTTCTCTACGCCACTCACACAGACCCACATACTCACACTCAAATATCGCCCACACTATCCTTGGTCAACAGACAGTAAGAGTATTTAGGCACACAGGTGGGATAACCAGGCGGCTTAACAGGCGGACCACAAACAGCTGCAGCTTGTGAGTAGCCATTATTACGAGTGCCATTCAAACCCACTTATACACACACACACACACACACACACACACACACGTAAGGGATACAGTGATCTGGTGCTGACAGCTGGATGTGAGGTGATGGATGGGTCAGTGTACAGTGGCATGGTGAGTGTTGGTATGCAATGGGGCAAAAGTCGACTGTCTCCAAGCAGGACTGATAGGAGTTATTTATATCCACCTCATCTGTCACCCTCTACTTCTGACATCGAGAACAAAATGAAAGACTGCCGAGAGATGGGAGAGAGAGACGAAAGAAGGAAAATGCAACACGGAAAAACCCTGTAATGTGAAGGATCTTGATTGTGAATGTGTCCTAGAAAACATTTACTGCGTGGAATTTACGATCTCTGAGAAATCGCTCTTTGCTGAGTGTCAGTGTCACTGCAAAGATGTATTTGAACTGAGCAGCAAAAAGAGAAAAAGCTTATTTAGGTGAAAGGATGTGGAAAATCTTATTCAATCATCCAGATAAAGCTGTTTCATATGTGGAATGAACCAGGTGTGGTAGCCAACCTCAGCTTACTATGGCTGTTGGCATAAAAGTCACATAGTTTTGACAGAAAACTCTCTCTCCTCTCACTTCCTATGTCTCTTTCTCTCTCTCTCAGGTGAGTGACCCTGGGTCAAAATGACCGAGCGCTACGACTGCCACTACTGCAAGGAATCCCTGTTTGGCAAGAAGTATGTTCTGAGAGAGGAGAATCCCTACTGTGTGAAATGTTATGAGAGTCTGTACTCCAACACCTGTGAGGAGTGCAAGAAGCCAATTGGCTGCAACACCAGGGTAAAGAGATGTCACTAAATACATGGTTCATATGAGCCCTAACACGCTCTTTATGTGGGTTCCTGTCTTGAACAGTAATTATCATCAGTCGGCCTAGCTCTAACTGCCCATGTTATATTATTATTATATTTTAATATAGGCCTACACTTAATATGTTGTGTGTGTAGCATGAATGAACTACAAAATTTGTTTTGTTATGCAGCCTTGTGCTGTATAATGACTAATAAACTACCTTGTACCTTGAATGTTCTTCTAGGATCTGTCATACAAGGACCGTCACTGGCACGAGGACTGTTTCATGTGCTTCCAGTGCAAGCGCTCGCTGGTGGACAAGCCCTTCTCCACCAAGGATGAACAGCTCCTATGTACAGAGTGCTACTCCAATGAGTATTCCTCCAAGTGCCATGAGTGCAAGAAAACCATCATGCCAGGTAGGAAGAAAGCCACAAAGAGAGCAGCAGAAACCAAATTTTTACCAACCAAAAATCCTATTTCTGAAATAACAAAGCTTCTCACGTGTCACTCAAATTTATTGACAGTTTTTGTGAGTGAAAACCCCAAGTTAGACTGTTATCACATATATTAATACAATTGTTGGTAAAAATGTCTGCGCTTCACCAAGCAAAATATGCAATACATGTAAGTTGAAGTAAAACAACTACAATTTCAAACCATAACATCATGAGATGGAATCAGCTAAAGTCTAAGCAGATCTAGAGTAAGTGTCAGAATGGTGCATGTATGAATGGTTTATATATGATTGTCTCAAATCTAAATGCGCCAAATTACATTTTATGCACAACAAATCAGTGAAATTATGTTAAGGTCGGGTTAGTGTCAACTACTAAAGGACCAATATGGACTCAACATTTAGGAAATCCTAACATTTCTGCACATTTTACTAAAGAACAATAAAGTTAAGCTTAAGTATTTCCATAAAGTTGACTGACTGTTCTAAATGTAAACTTTTCTCACAAAAAAACTAAATAAATAATTGAATGTAAATTGCACATTTTCTATTTTCTTATTGCTGTTCTCTTTGCATCCGTTTACTAACTCCATTCATTCCCTTACTTTCTGTTTCTCTGAAGGCTCCAGAAAGATGGAGCACAAGGGGAACAGTTGGCATGAGACCTGTTTCACCTGCCAGAGATGCCAGCAGCCCATTGGCACCAAGAGCTTCATCCCTAAGGACAACCATAACTTCTGTGTGCCCTGCTATGAGAAGCAGTTTGCCATGCAGTGTGTGCACTGCAAGAAGGTAGGACACCCAATTGTACATATCATAAACTCTGAAGTGTAACTCATTTTTATAGTCGTACTTATTCTTCATTTTAACTCAAAGAACTGTGATTACACCCGTCTTTGTCACTCTTGTTCACTCTTATCAGCCCATCACCACTGGCGGGGTGACCTACCATGATCAGCCCTGGCACAAGGACTGCTTCCTGTGCACTAGCTGCAAGCAGCAGCTGTCCGGCCAGAGGTTTACCTCTAGAGATGACTTTGCCTACTGTCTCAACTGCTTCTGCAACCTTTATGCCAAGAAGTGTGCCTCCTGCACCACCCCCATTAGCGGTAATCACAATTTATCTCTCCCTGATATGTCCCTAACTCTAAAAAAGTTTTGTTCATCAAATGTTTCTCAGTTGTTTTGACTTGGGACTCATTCTTCTCTTTCAGGCCTTGGAGGCAGCAAGTACATTTCCTTTGAGGAACGCCAGTGGCACAATGACTGCTTCAACTGCAAAAAGTGCTCCGTGTCCCTGGTTGGCCGTGGCTTCCTAACTGAACGTGACGATATCCTGTGCCCAGAGTGCGGCAAGGACATCTAATTCGGTCTGAGGGACGATGGATACAATGATTAGATGACCATGTTATGATAGAGAAATGACATAGATACAAAAAATACTATCAGAGCTCAGCATCCATAGCATATTTACAACCTAGCATTAACTATGAATGTGTATTGTTTGATTTGAAGAAATACAAACTACTAACAGTGTTATTTGAATTTATAAATTTTATTTAAGTTAAATGTTCACTCTTTGAGAAAAGGTCTATACTAATAAAATAACTGTTGTCGGTTATGTGAAAGACCTTTGCTTATGAAACAGCAGCATGTTTGGATTTAGACACGGTCTATGGCATTTTGAAATAAATCTACAATATTTATGTAGACTATCCACTTTGAAGTGTAATGATTACTGCTTTGTGCATGAACTAGCTTGATGCTGTAAGAAGTAGAGGTTTTGTGAATTAATTCTGCTATTACCAATTAAATATATTGAAACTGTGTTACTTTTTGCTCTTATAATTGGAATGCATAAATCTAGCAATTGTGCATGAAATCACATGAATTTCCGGGGGGGGGGGGCAAAGGGTTCAAAATGTTTCTATTAAGCAACCGTGAGAGCAGAAACTGTACACACATTAAATACAAAAGTTAGTAAAGATTGGTGAGTCTAGGATAAATTTAGATTTCCTTTATTATTTTTTACCACAATGTTAGTTTAGACTGTAGAATGTTTTAAGTGCTGTATGTTACAATACTGTCATATAATGTGGGCCACAAAGCTGCTAACATTTCTACTGTAATTAAATCAACAAAAGTGATTCATCGTATTGAGACAATTTATTTAGAAAACTGTTGGTACAAACATGACACCAAATTGAAAAAATGGATTCAAATTTGTAATGCTGATTTACTCTACATCCATTTCAAACATACTAACTGCAAAGTCAATTTATCCACAATTCCAAATAAATATATTTCACAAAGTCAATATTCTTGGTTAAGTCCATAATCCTTTTTTTGTCTGAATTATTAAAAGGTGATATTCAGGTGTTATCTGCTTCCTCTGTGTCAAAACGGCTATTTAGTAGTGGATTATGATCCAGCTGTAGAGGAAAATCATTCATCTCAATGTCATGTGCAACGTATGCACAATAACTGCTTGACACTAATATTTAAAAACCTGAACCTGAACAACTTGTGAAACAGTACAGGTTTGAACAAAGCCGAACATCAGAGGAATGGAGTTCATTGAGAACAAAAATGACACCTACTACTGGCACAAAATGTTAAGTGTACACCCACACTTGAAAGGTTATGCTCAGCATAATCTGTGGTTTGTATTCTTTTAAAAAGGTACACCAGATAGAAAAAAAATTAAGCACTGCCTCATTATGCATTCACAATGTCCCTTAAATATGTCCATCATTTTGACAGTCACAATCTCATACTACCTAACCCTAACCCATTCCAGTTATGGAATTAACGGTTACAACATTTTAAACAAAATTTAAGCAAGAAACTCAAACCGGTACTGCAGGCCCTCTTACCAAAACCACAGAAACAGAACATCAACAATCATAACTTCTATAAATGGCTTTTCAAAAAACAAAAGTCATGTTGCATGTTCTGTCCTCTAGAAAGTCCATGTGTGGGACCTGAGGAGAGTTTCTCGTCATTGCTGGTAAGGGCACTTGAGGTTGTGGAGAGCAACAAGGAAGCATGTGACTTCAAAAGCAGGTTTGTCTTCAGGGCAAAACCCAATCCTCTAAGCTCTCAGAACTGAACAAGAGCTGCAAGGTGGCCTTAACGCACAGGTAAAAGGGTTTTCATCCCTTTGATGCCATGGGATGACTGTGATGGTGGTTAGAGTGCACAGGTAGTGGGCAATAACATTTGGTGGGAGGGGGAGTGATCTGTTCTCCAGGGCCTGAGCTCCCATCAGGTCTGTGTGAGTAGGGACCAGAGGTCAGGGCCATGTCACATGCTGGATCTTTTTCTTCTCCGGAGACTTCACTGCACCCTGAAGAGATGACACATCAACAGGTTGGACCAATAATTAATGCAACATATAATGTACTGCAATCTGTTACTGACCAATTGGCATACCATTATCAGTGATTTGACATATGAAAGATGACTGAAAAGATTTGAATTACAAAGACATAGTTTTTCTTTGTGATAGTTAAAGCTCTGTTGCATGAATTACATGAACATTATAAAGCAGTAAATAATCATTACATTGAGACCAATTCCCACTTTGATATTTTAGGGGTATGTTTTTGTCTTTATTTACACATCGATTGTAGTCTTTTCAATACATTGTATATCGAAGAATCACCTCTATTGTGAAAGTATTGTATCAGCATTTGTCATATACTGTATGTTTTCCACCCAGAATTACAAGACAAACATTTAAATACAAGAAACACAAAACAATATTAATAATTATGCACATTCTCCTTGAATCACACAGTACATTTGGGTGTAACGCATAACTGAGGACAAAAAGTTCCTACCGAGCTGTTTGCTTCTTGTTTGAGGTTTGCGGTGTCAGTGCTGTGGTGAACGGATGAGGAACAGGAAGAAGAAGAGGACGATGTGTTTCCAGAGAGCCTGCGGATGGGGTTCAACAGGTTTGCAGCAGGGGGAGGTTTTAACCTGTCGGTGATTCCCGATGATACAGTGGTTCCCTCTAGTTTCTTAACTTTTAGTGGGCCAGATTGAGAGGAACTGCCATCAAACACAATCAGATGCCTTTTCCTATTGTGGTCGTTACTTGAACTGGAAATGACCAGACAACAATGACAACAATAATCAATAGTTTATATTCACATGGATTAAAGCCATGTTGATAGTAAGGGCTCTATTTTGGAGCAGGTGCACAGGAGGCACACAAATTGTATTCCCTCGCCTGTACCAGTTTGGGATTTTGGTGACTTGTTGTGCGTCACAGTGGGAGGGTCGTTACCTGTCTGACATGTTAGTCGCTGTCTGTCTCCCTCGGCTCTTCTCCATCCTCTTGCCCCAGCGACTGGTGGGTAAAGTCCTCTGTGGCAGCGGGATGACATGCCGGAGGTAAAGCTCTGTGAGCCGGTCCCGACTCTCACCGTCTCTGGTACCAACATTTTTCTGATTCAGACAGAAGACCTGTTAGCTAACATTGCCCTGTATGAAAAACATTAATCAACGTCTGATGCTAAGAAACCCGCTACTAATGAATCAGCCAATATAGCAGACAGCTATGATGACTGTTAGCCGGTATGCTAACATTATGGTGTCGTTCTTTTACCTCCACATTAAGTGACAATTTCCACCTTTCTCTCTAAACATTAACTCACCTCACTTAAGATGAGCTGCATAAACTCTTGAGACAACAGCTCAGGGTGCAGTAATAGATCCACATCTGTGGTACAAACAGACTTTACATCTTGTCCTGTGGAAGTCGCCATATTTGATGATCGTGTCTTCCCGACATGCACCGCGTCACAACAATACAGCATGGCAGACTGCAACTTGGCTCTGAAACATTCTGATGTGTGAACGTTTATATGCCTATTATTAAAATGTCAACGCGATCATTTTTATCAGGAATTAAAGTGTGTACCGCAGACTTCACGAATAGAAGACATGCTCAGAGGAAATGCTCAAATTACTCCAGTAACTATTACAGCAGATTTGCCAATTAAAGTATTTTTTTTATTTGAGGGAAAATTTGCATCTATTTACTTATTTGTTCAAGGCTATTTCTAAAATACTTTAGTATACTCAATCTGTGCAGTTTCAAAGTGAAATCAAAGATGATTCAACTGAATGGTGTTAAATGTCTTAGAATTCAGATATTTTACTTAAAGGTTCAGTGTGTAAGTTTTAGTGTATCTGATCTAGTGGTGAGGGTTGAGCCTTGTTGAACCTTCATCAAATGACTCAATTCAATTGCTCCTGGGACAAAATAAGTACTTTATAATAAATGTAATAATACTAATGGCAATTATAAAGTTAGCAGTAAAAAAACTAAATTTGTACTTTTTTCCATGAGGTTCTGCATGTACAATCTAATTTCTTAATCCAACAAAAAGGCTTTGAAAACTGTCAACATGTGGTCCTCTTTTAATATCTGTATAATATAGACTACCCCTGGCAAAGTTTTTACTGTTTGTGTCGTCCTATATACAGTATTTGACTGTATAGACTGTTCTGTATACTTCTTTATGTCCCATGTACACTTTAGTCCTCTTTTTGCAATAAAGATTTAAGGAGAAAAATAATCTCATTATTCAGACACTACATGAATGCACCATCCATCACTGCTCACCCCTCCCTTTGCAAGCGTGCAGGAGAAGCTAGGTGTCCGATACGTTCTATATGGCAATCTATAAGCTCTTATGCGCTCTTGTGCTAAATAATGCGTGTGGTCCTCTATTTGTCCAAATTTCACTTCTCCTACTACTACAACTTCTTCTTTGTCTTGTATGTATTCGAAATAGTGACAAAACACGCTCTGTAGAGTAGTTTGTTCGTTCAAGCTACTGTTAGAGTGACCATATTTTAGTTTTCAAAAAAGAGGACAGTGGGGGAAGGAGGCAGATGGATACTCGCAGTGGGTGAAAGGTTGGGACTGGGGGGATTCAGGTAATTGATGGCAATGTGTATGGGAGGAGTCTATCTTATTGAAGTTTAATACTGTTTTGACACTGACACGTACATACCAGCTTTTATCATGGTAGGTTGTTTTCTTTCAATAAATCCTTGATTAGTCTCTAATGCTAAGCGCTAACCTGTAGCACCATGTCATCCTTTTTTTAATGTCCCACCCCATCCAGGCTGTGATTGGTCGGTTCACAAAAAGTGACATTAGTGAGCAACTTTATGGACATGCTTGGATAAAAAAAGCACCCAATCTTCTCCCTACTCCATCTCCGCTGGTGGAGAAAGCAGACAAGATTACCGCCAGCTTGTGAGTAGTGCCGGTTCTGGAAGAAAAAGTCCTGGTATGCCAAAGAGTAAAATGTAATAATGACGGTACTGCTCAAAACAATGCAAAAATGCACACAATGAATGACGGCTGTAGAAAGCATTTTGGGCGATTTAGTAATCCAGGCCGGACACATTTTTTGGGAAAAAAGAGGACATGTCTGGGAAATCGAGGATTTATGGTCACCCTAGCTACTGTAGTAACATGGCGTCGCAACATGGCGACGTCCATGTAAGAGGTCCCACTGTGTATGTAGCAGCAGAAGACATTAGTCAAAATTTAGCTAATTTTAACTATTTTTTATACTGTTGGGTTGTTTAATCTATAAAAAGTAATATATAGGCCAAATGCACTATATTTTATAAAGTGAGCATATATTTTGTATTTAAAACCTTGAGTAAGTAACTAGTAACTATAGTGGAGTAACAAGTACAATATTTACCTCTGATTGTAGTGGAATAGAAGTATAAAGTGACATAAAAGGGAAATACTCAAGTTACGTGCAAGTACCTTAAAATTATACTTGAGTAAATGTACTTTGTTACTTTCCACCACTGTATTCAGGTACACCTGTATGCCTATAAAATACTGCACAGAACAGCTGAAAAGATGAAAATCTAAGCTATACCAAAGGGTTTTTTTTTTTTAAAAAAGGGGGGGGGGATCACGACCACTACAAGAGGTCCTTGCACGTATAGTCATAAATGTGCACAAAAAAGATTTTGAGATTAGCTGTCAGCAGATACAAACACACACACACGACCAAACACGTGATCCCCTCCAGACTTATGACTGGCGGAGATAATAAACAAAAGCAGAATTATCCATAACATCATGCCAGGTTGTTGTTTTCTGGTTGGTAAACACTGAGTACATTTGGTGATAGTTCTGTATTACACTGCTCAAAAAAATAAAGGGAACACTAAAATAACACATCCTAGATCTGAATGAATGAAATAATCTCATTAAATACTCCTTTCTTTACATAGTTGAATGTGCTGACAACAAAATCACACAAAAACTATCAATGGAAATCAAATTTATCAACCCATGGAGGTCTGGATTTGGAGTCACACTCAAAATCAAAGTGGAAAACCACACTACAGGCCGATTGTCCTTAAAACAAGTCAAAATGAGGCTCAGTAGTGTGTGTGGCCTCCACGTGCCTGTATGACCTCCCTACAACACCTGGGCATGCTCCTGATGAGGTGGCGGATGGTCTCCTGAGGGATCTCCTCCCAGACCTGGACTAAAGCATCCGCCAACTCCTGGACAGTCTGTGGTGCAACGTGGCGTTGGTGGATGGAGCGAGACATGATGTCCCAGATGTGCTCAATTGGATTCAGGTCTGGGGAACGGGCGGGCCAGTCCATAGCATCAGTGCCTTCCTGTTGCAGGAACTGCTGACACACTCCAGCCACATGAGATCTAGCATTGTGTTGCATTAGGAGGAACCCAGGGCCAACCGCACCAGCATATGGTCTCACAAGGGGTCTGAGGATCTCATCTCGGTACCTAATGGCAGTCAGGCTACCTCTGGCGAGCACATGGAGGGCTGTGCGGCCCCCCAAAGAATGCCACCCCACATCATTACTGACCCGCCGCCAAACCGGTCATGCTGGAGGATGTTGCAGGCAGCAGAACGTTCTCCATGGCGTCTCCAGACTCTGTCGCGTCTGTCACATGTGCTCAGTGTGAACCTGCTTTCACCTGTGAAGAGCACAGGGCGCCAGTGGCGAATTCGCCAATCTTGGTGTTCTCTGGCAAATGCCAAACGTCCTGCATGGTGCTGGGCTGTAAGCACAACCCCCACCCTCATACCACCCCCATGGAGTCCGTTTCTGACCGTTTGAGCAGACACATGCACATTTGTGGCCTGCTGGAGGTCATTTTGCAGGGCTCTGGCAGTGCTCCTCCTGCTCCTCCTTGCACAAAGGCATAAGTAGCGGTCCTGCTGCTGGGTTGTTGTCCTCCTACGGCCTCCTCTACGTCTCGTGATGTACTGGCTTGTCTCCTGGTAGCGCCTCCATGCTCTGGACACTACGCTGACAGACACAGCAAACCTTCTTGCCACAGCTCGCATTGATGTGCCATCCTGGATGAGCTGCACTACCTGAGCCACTTGTGTGGGTTGTAGACTCCGTCTCATGCTACCACTAGAGTGAAAGCACTAACAGCATTCAAAAGTGACCAAAACATCAGCCAGGAAGCATAGGAACTGAGAAGTGGTCTGTGGTCACCACCTGCAGAACCACTCCTTTAATGGGGGGGTCTTGCTAATTGCCTATAATTTCCACCTGTTGTCTTTTCCATTTGCACAACAGCATGTGAAATTGATTGTCAATCAGTGTTGCTTCCTAAGTGGACAGTTTGATTTCACAGGAGTGTGATTGACTTGGAGTTACATTGTGTTGTTTAAGTGTTCCCTTTATTTTTTTTGAGCAGTGTAGTTGGAGTCATGCCTCAGCAGTTTGAAATTAAACTCAATGATTTTAGAGCAGCTAAATTAATAAGCAACCCTTAAGTTTTTAAAGACTCACTCATTTCCTTTTAGTGACTGAGAACAAGAAGACCATGTTCTCAGTCATCTGCTGATTTGAGCATTGGCCCTTCTACTTGGCGTTGCCACCTCATGGAGATAAATATCCGTAATATTCATCACAGCAGTTAAAACTGAAGAAGCCTTTCAGATGAATGACAACGTCTTCAATCAAAACTCATGTCCAGTAATTAGGATCTAACTTTCTCCAGACAAGAGCACTCCAAACTTGGATTGGGGCTGGATGCAAAACAACTTGGATCCACATCCTCATTGGAAGGAAATTAGGACATATTGATTATTATCAATAACATTATTTAAGTATTTTAATCAATACTATGCCTGATTTGTCTTTACAGTAAACGAATAATGTGTTTCACAACTGAAAATCAATGTCACTCAACTGTGGGACATTAAATCACAACACAGAGTTTCCAAATTCATATGAAAGCTTTTTTCAAACCAAAAGCATGTCCCTGAGCTTTTTCCGGTTGAGCCTGTTGTTGGAGCAAAAATGTCCCTACTTCTGACGTCTTTGCAGTTAAATATCTTATTAGCTCCAGCTCTAAGTGAAGTGATTAAATTCAGACAGCAATGTGACGTAGAAGCAACCATGAGATCTAAATTAAGATGGAGAGACCATGCAGTGGATGTCACATGTAGGCGCATGAGTAGACGCCTCAGGTTTAAAATCACGTTTTGTAGTGTTTGATTCTTCAGCCTCTTTAACATAGAGAAAACGTGACACATGGAAAGTGGTTTTGGTTTTCTACTGCAAATTGTTTTCTCCCTACATTTCAGAAGTTACGAAAGCAGTCAAAAGAGAAAATAATTAAATGGTTTAAACATTCCCGAATCATGTGCTTGAGGTCAAAAGCATTAAACAGTACTTAGTGCAATGGTTTAAAACATTAATATAACGATTAGAGCTAAAATGATTGATTAATAAAAAAATTAATGCTCTATTTTGTCAATTTTTCAAGCAAAACATTACGATTATTATTATGAAATATTATGATTATTATGCCTCTAAGTTATGAGACTTTGCTGTTTTTCTTTCTTATTTGATAGTAAATGTATATACACTGAACAAAATTATAAACACAACCCTTTAGTTTTTGCCCCCATTCATCATGAGCTGAACTCAAAGATCTAAGACTTTATCTATGTACATAAAAGGCCTGTTTCTCTCAAATACTGTTCACAAATCTCAGAATCTGTGTTAGTGAGCACTTCTCCTTTGCTGAGATAATCCATCCACCTCACAGGTGCGGCATATCAAGATGCTGATCAGACAGCATGGGTATTGCACAGGTGTGCCTTAGGTTGGCCACAATAAAAGGCCACTCGAAAATGTGCAGTTCCATCACAGCACAATGCCACAGATGTTGCAAGTTTTGAGGGAGTGTGAAATTGGCATGCTGACTGCAGGAATGTCCACCAGAGCAGTTGAATTGAATGTTCATTTCTCTACCATAAGCCGTCTCCAAAGGTCCAACTGGCTTCACAACCGCAGACCACCTGTAACCACACTAGCCCAGGACCTCCACATCCAGCATCTTCACCTCCAAGATCGACCAGCCACCCGGACAGCTGCTGCAACAATTGGTTTGCATAACCAAAGAATTTCTGCACAAACTGTCAAGAACCGTCTCAGGGAAGCTCATCTGCATGCTCGTCTTCCTCATCAGGGTCTCGACCTGGCTGCAACTTCGCACAGCCATTGAAGAGGAGTGGACCAACATTCCTCAGGCCACAATCAACAACCTGGTCAACTCTATGCGAAGGATATGTGTTGCACTGTGTGAGGCAAATGGTGGTCACACCAGATACTGACTGGTTTCTGAACCCCCACAGATATCCCCACAATACAGTGAAACTGCACATTTTCCAAAGTGTTGCCTTTATAATTTTGTTCAGTGTATTTGCCTTTTGGACTGCTTTCACTATTTTTAAATCATCAACTGAGAAGCTAGCTGCCAATATTCATCGAATTGGTTGAGCAAGCTCCGTGATCCCTTGCTTATTTTTGACATTAGCAGTTTTGCTAATATCTTAAAAATTAAGACTTAATTTCCCATCCAACCCTTTTATTTTTGTCAAAAAGATGTTGTGGTTACTAAAGTTCATTAAACTCGCTCCAGACCTCTAGATCAAAGCCAACACCTCTGATTTGTAACTTAATTTGCAATGCAAGAACAGCACCATCCTCCTGCGTTTTGCTGTACAACACTATCTCTATTTGGTTGGCTGAGACTGCCAGTGTTATTGATGAGGGTCTTTCAGCTTTATAGCATTTATGCAGATATCTCAAAATGAATGCAGTAACAATTTATCAACATTAAAATGCCACACAGTTGAATCAAAACCACAATGCATTCACTTCATTTGTTCATTCAGCATTTCCTTGGAGAACAATTAGTAACACTTTTTGTGCAGGCCTCACTCTTCCAATAGGATTACTGAAGCAGATAGAATTCAATACACAAACCGCTCTGCATGTTGTCTTCAGTGCAGCAGATATGTATCCACTCACGATGAATAGATGTCTTTAGTATCCCTGCAACTCTATTTCCCTATGTACAGAAATGTACATTGTAAAAACAGCTGGCTAGAATGTGTTTTTCATCCAAATGCTCCGGTCTGTCAACGCAACCTCTTTTAAAAACTATATTTATTCACCTGGTTTGGTCATTCATGAAACGATAATACATTCAAGTAAACATTCACAGCTCAATAATTATTTGTTGACATACTCATGGTTTCAACTCACATAAGGTTGTGTTTCTTCACAAATGTCATTAAAATCTTTTTTTCAAGTCAGTTGAGAGCTTGCAGGCTTCCCTCTGACAACATCACTGGACATTATTACCTTGTATGTTTTTTTGTGAAACCCTTCACATAGTAACTGACAACAGAATTATTATCACCACTACTACTCAAAGACTGAACATTGAGTCTACAGTCTGAAAAAAAGAGTAATGTTGATTAAAAAAAACTTGAGGGACAAATTATGAAACAAAAATAAATTGACATTGGAGGATGGTGAAATTGTTTGAATGGCAGTAAGTTTTAGAAACCATAATGGCCATGAAGCTAAAATTTCTTGAGACTGAAAGTTCATTGCTGAGCTTTGAAGCAGCATACAAAATATTCTCACCAAAAGGTCCATTCAGTAGATTTCCTGGAGCAGTCAACTCTATTACACAACCTTCCTCAGCAGATGCCCAGGTGTCACGTGACTGTTGAAATTTTATTCCTCTGAGCACTTCAAGGGCTTGTTTTAAAAACTGAGATTGAAAAGTTTGTTCTTGTGGTGAGATTATTTTGTCGACAACCAGTATACTCTTTTAAAGGTGAACTTTAGCAGCCTCTGATTGTTTATTAAGAGTGCTGATTGCTAAAGTAAGAGTTAAAAAATTGTTGATAGCACTGTCAGCAGCTGCTGCTTTGTGCATCAACAAACTGGTCCTCCATGTTTCATACAGCTGACTGAGTCTCGCTGCACACATAGATGTTGCTGGGCCTCACTCTCCTACGGCTCCTGCCTGGTACTCTGGGACAAAGTCTGCAGCTCTTGGGAATGAACTCCTGACAGGCCTCCCTGAACTTCCTGATCCTCCAGCAGTAGATGACAGGGTTGAACACTGTCTTCAGGTAGCTGAGCCACAGAGCGCCTATGCTGACTGGGTAGAAGACCGAGCTGTAGTAGAACTGTCGGCTGAACACGGCCAGCAAGCTGACCACCGTGTGCGGCAACCAGCACACAGAGAAGCCGACAAAGAGGATGAGGATGGTGGTGAAGGCTCGGGTCTTGAAGCTCATATCCACCTTGATCTGAGGCGGCCGCTGCAGCCCGGTAAGTCTCATTTTGCTGACTTGGTTGAGCGCTGGCAGGCAGGAATGCTCGCTGGTGTGGTTGTGGATGCGCAGGGTGTTGCGACGCACTGTGTTGAGGATGCACAGGTAAGAGTACAGCATGACAGCAAATGGTACAAAGAATACTGCTACTGCTAACAGCACTGTGTATCCACGGTCTGCCAGAGATTCACTGTATCCCAGCACACACTGCGGCGCCCAGGCACCCCCAATACCTGCTGCACCTGTCCTCCACCCAACTACAGACGGCAGGGACACGCACAGGCTCAGCACCCATGAGCCTGCAATCAACAGTTTAGCTCTGTGCGGGGTCAACTTGTCCTGTCGCTGCACAATGATGAGGAAACGGTCCACACTGATTATGAGGAGTATGGACACCCCCTCCAGGACGAACAGCCAGTACAGCATGATGGATGCTCGGCAGAACCCGCTTCCAAAGCTCCAGTCGGCAGTGGCCACAGTGACTGCAGTGAAAGGCATGCAGAGCAAAGACAGCATTATGTCTGAAAAGGCCAACGTGGCAAGGAGGAGATTGATCGCAGAACGCATGGCAGGTTTTTGGTAAACAATTAGACACACAATCGCATTGCCGAGGAAACCAATAGTAATCATGAAGATCATTATGCCTGCCAGGGTCACGCGCAGAGTGACTGATATGAGGGGAGTTGCCGCTTCTGACGGGAGACTTTCCGCTGCTTCCTCTACATTGTCCGGCTCCATGAAGTCACACTCCTCCAGCAGGCTTTCATTGCAAAAAGCCATCGCAGCTGTTATCAGGGGATATCAGCCCAAAAGAAGGTACATGTTTGAGTACTGCTTCGGTATACACATTAAGTTGTCTTCCAATAGTTGGTCGTCCATGGCAATAACTGAAATAGAAAGACAAAAACATCCACAGACAAGCATTTTTTTACTTTGTGAAACAGTCAAAATACAAAAGAGTTTTTTATCTGACAAGGTGTACAGTATGTTCAATAATTTTATTGGGTGTCGACACGAATTAACAGTGCACTACATTAACCGTGTTGTCGGTCTGCTGCTGTAAACATGACATAGCCACAGAAAACACTGACTGGGTGTCTCATCAGATAGTCAGAGGAGTTCAGCTGCTCTGCGATCTATTACTCAGTGATACTTGTAAATTTGAAACAGTGAGAGGAGGAGTGATGTTCCCATGATGCTGAAGGAGTTATATAAGCCGTAGGACTAACCCACACACACCACATTGAGAGATATAACAGCCACACAGGACAGACATTTGCTGCTCACTGGCTTACGTGAGGTTGATGATTAACAGCTGAGCTGTACAGATTTAAATGGGTGCATATACAAACATTCACACCACCTACTCTCCAACACACACAGTATGTTTAATGGCTCACACATGAATAGAAATACGCACATTTACACAACACGAGTTTAGTACACACCCATGGTGCAGTTGCCTGTCTTCTGTCGGCTTAGCAGAAGCTGATTCTTGGGTAATGCTTCAGACTCTGATGCAACCGGGATAAAAAATAGAGGCATCTTCAGGACACACACACAGAACACGTCTGTTGCTATGGTTTCCACCTCCTGCTCTTGGCGCAAGTGTTAACGTTGTGTTGAGGTCATCCTGGCGTTCAGGTCTCAGATGCTTTCCTCCAGGTGGACTGGCACATAGAGACAAGAAGATCAATTAAGGTTCATAACCTCCATGTTTAATGCTAGTGTTACCAACTAGATTTGATACACCTATTTGCAGCAGATACTTTGACTTGTCATATTAGTAGGTGTTACTAATAACACTGTTCTCGTAAAGTGTCCCGGTAAGCCATTGACAGTGTGACAGTGAGCCAGCATGCACGATACCAGGACCCTGAAACTGAAGCAGCAAAATGGAATTCAGCCATCAATAATTTAATTATTTAGATCTGTGCTTTTCCTCCTGTGACATTTCAAAATGTCTTCTGTGAAAAAGGCCTTCAGTTGCTTTTCTGTGATAGTATACACACTTTGTCACTGCAAGAAATCTACATGTAATATTAAGGTGAGACAACACAGTCAGTGACGGACCCTTTTGAAGGGTGAGGAAAATGACATGGCATATACAATAAACATGTAATTTTGAGAAAACGGCTGTTAAAGATTAGCTAATTCACAAGAAACGCGCTATAAAAATTATTGTTTGTCACATGAACACACATATCTGAATATGTGATGGTTCACCCAGACAGGTAAAAGGAAATCATCCCTTCAGTGATTGTAGCTGCATTTTTGCACAAACCCCAGTTTAGGGCTGCATAGTGTAGCTAGTTGTTGCCAAGGCAACAAGGTCACCAATTCCATGGCAACAAGCAGCCTTCTCTATAATAAAATATTTTCTGCAACTTAGGACTTTTTGCAGGTGATAAACATCAACACGTCTGTCTTAAGGTCTTGTTTCATGTCATTATCTTCTGGTATGATCAATACAGGTATAGGCATAAGGTAGCAAATAAGAAACAATGGGATCATGTGGCCTTCATGACAATAGAATACAATAAAATGGCTTAAAATGTTAATACAATTACCTTTCTAAATGATTAGCTGCAAATTATGTCAAGAAGACAATGGGATGACATGACCTGCAGGGGGCTCCCAGCTGCTTATTTCCACAAAAAACAGGTGGTTTTACTCAGCTCATCTCAAGGACTGATTCAATAGACTATACAAGACAAAATAAATGGATGAAACAATATTCAGATTAAGTACTTTTAGAAGGTTATGGTGCGTCAGTTCCTCCATGCAGGCATATGTTAACTGTTTTCCAGTAGGCTATTACACTATCACAGTGATGTATAATCTATTTTCCCTGTATTGATAACCCATTGCTTAGGTTACAACCAGTAAAATTTATTTTACATAGCGCCACCACTGAGCTTGAACATTGTGTTCTCACATTTCCATATATTTCTATCCCACACCTGCGTTTCTCTGTCCATCACAGGCGGCTCTGCTCTCTCAGCCTGTCTGAATCACTACTGAGGACAACGAGTCAGTGCAAATCTTACTACATTATAGGCATTATAGGCAAAATACCAGTTTTTTTCTCTAAGCAGGGGGATCAACACCAATACATCTTTCAGCATTAACCAGACATAAATGGGCCTACCTTGACGTAACATTTGATTTCAGGTTTTATGCTTGTCTCTCGTCGAGCCAGTCAGCTCTGCGACCGTGTTTCCCTCCCTGTGCATGTCGAGCCTTTCCTAAAATATCCCACTTTGAACATTTTACTGCTGTATCGATCGCCATCGTGCCGCCTGCGGGTGATGCTGACGCCAGAAGAGCAGGTGGTCACTGATTTAAAGGAGCAGTGCGGAGAATACATTGATTTTGATGCCTGAATATTTAAAAAGGTGCGGCGCTCCCAGTATGTTGTTTTCTTATATCTAGCATATTACTAATTAATCAATACCTATTAATCAATCAATATGCCAACATGTCTGCAACTCATACACCCAGCACACCAATATCAAATGTGCTTTCCAAAACCTAACACAACAACAAAAACAACAACAAACAAATCAATGGTCCAGTGTGCCTTGTAGGCCTATGTACCAGATAGCACAATCGGGTTGCTTTTATAGAAGATGCTCAATAAGACGATCTCCTGTACATGGGCTAGATAATTGAAGTTTTTTGGGTATTGAGCTGATTCACCAACAGCAATACAAATGATAATATTTACATCATTTTGACTAAAACAAGCAAGCAAAAGAAATCTCATCTCATGGAATCTTAAACACACACAATGATATGTAACACTATGTATTGGCTCTATGCAAGAAATAAAGTATTACACTGAAAGAGAAGTGAATTAAGTCATTGAGTGTATTGTAGAATAAAGGGGAGCCATTTGAAGGATATACAACATCTAACTTTTATTAAACCCTCATTTCCAAGCTTTTAAATTTCTCATCATCATTTATGCTTACACTGTAGGTCTGTGTGCACATCCCATAATAGTCAATTCTGATGCGGAATCTTCACACAATAATCCTAAAGACAGACTCTCTTCCACTGCCTCAAACAAGGTTCTGGTTGAAATTAGTACAGTGTTTCAAAGGTTATTAAATAGCATTAATCCAACCATCTCAAATTGAGAGGGTTTTGCCATAGGATCAGTGTCTTGCCACCGTAAAAATTCTGAAACATGCGTTCATTATTTTGTCCAGAAGATGGCAGCATTGTACGTTAAATCCATAGACATGTCTGTGTTGGTGTGGTCATGTTTTTATTAGGAATATAATGTTTTAGTTCAAACGTGTTTAAGTTGCAGTACCTCCTTTTACAGCATTACCTGGCCATAATCCTTTCACAGCAGCAGTTTTGACTCAGTATATTGCTAAAATTCTTATGTTGTGTTTTGGAGAGGAGCCTATACCACACACCAGTGATAGAATGCTGACTGAGTCCAGATGTGTAGAATCACATCTGCAGAGACTGATTTTTTTTTAAGGTAATTCAATTGTAATTCATTTAGATTTTTTAAAAACCGATGTATTCTTAATCTTCACACACGGTTACATTCACAGACTTAGCATACAGATTTTTTTTCATGGGCATGCTTGTCTAAATTGGCATCGTGCCCATGTGGTGAACATGCCCATCAAACGAGTTCCACTCCACCGGTCTGGCACATGCATGCTCGTCACGTTCAGTGGCACCCACACAACAAGCTTGCTAGTGACAGAATTAATTTTCCTGTCCATTATTTCCACAAATGTTTGCTTTAATTTCTACCTGATGGAGAGACTTTGGTACTCTGTCATTCACCAAAAAAGCAAACATGGACAAAGTGAAAAATGTTAACCACTAAATCAGAAAACCCTCACAGTACTGACTGAGTCTTGTGCAGACAATTTTGTGATACATTTAGGATAAATATAACAGCTTTGACATTACAGCCATTTAAAATGCACTTTTTGGGTCTTTTATACCTGTTTCCGGCTGCCTCCAGGTAGGAGTTATGTGTGTCATGAGTTTTCACACTGAGTTGGCCACAGTGTGTTAATCAGTGTTAGACTTTAGTGGTTAACCAATCTGTGCAATGTGAAAATAATTAACACTGAACAGTGGGGACTGATAATGTGCAACCCACAGTGAAATAGTTGTAGATTAAAACTTTGCTGTTGTAAAATAATTCTTTGAATAGGTGCAGGATTGTGTCTGTTGTATGTGACTGCACAAACTGTGAGACACAAACAACAAGCACTGAAGAGGGGATTATCATGCAATAATTGCTTTATGTAAAGTACCTCTGAACAAGGCTTTAAGAGCAATTATGAGCAATTATATTAGCAGTTTTTATTGGAGTAGGAAACAACATCCTTAGTGTGTAACTGCAAAAATCCCCTGTTGCACTGATGCAAAAAAAACAATACGCCAGTGGTGAATAATACTAAATTTAAGTAGCGCATAAATACACTGACTACATGTTTTACTATCATCATAAGCGCAAATGCACTTCAGGTGAGCTGAGCCATTTCTGTTGATTGAGGGGTTTTGGTTTCAGGTTACTGTAACATCATCAGCTTGTACCTTCAGATCCCTGCATTAATATTCAGAAGATACCTAGCACATGGGATGACAAAACCCTTTAAAGGGCTTTTTATCCCCCAATTCCAGCCTTATCTCCCATCTTTACATCGCTAGGCTTTAAGGGGATCACACTGCAATCCTGCCAGCTTATATTTTGCCTCCATTTTTATCAGGGAACTTGAGCTTTTGTAGCTAGGTGGGAACACATCATATTAAGGCTTCGGTAGATGATTACAGTGAGCTGTGGTTACCACCTTTCCACCTCTGTGTGATATTCCTGTGGTGGCTGGGAGCATGCAGAAGTTGCAGAAGAACATTGTGTCGACTGCAAGTGGTTTTCATGGCAGAATGTTGTATATGTCTTTGGGCTGTTTTACGTCACTTGGTGCTGACAAGCTCTGTATGCCACTTGATGGCAAGTAATAAGTCACTAAAAGTTTTCAATATTATCATTGTCTGGTGAAAACACTGTTTTTGTTTTTGCAAAATGCCTATTTATCTGCGGCTGAGAAAAACAGCTCAATCTTCAGCATTTTTGAGTTTGACATGGTTTAATCTGCTCACTAACAGCAGAATCTTAGGTTAGGTTTTACAGCAAGTTGCCGGTAAAGTGAAAAACATAAAAACACCAGCAGCGGCCTGTGTTCACAAGGTTTTTATTTAAAAAAACTTTGAAAAACCGGTTCACTCGTGTCTAATGTTTCTGCTTTCTAGTGAATTGGCCTCATAAGCTGGTGAAATAAAATCAACATGTCCTCTGCATGCGTACTCCTCTCCCTTTTGGGTATTAAGGGATTGAAAATTGACCTGGAGTGACGACGGCTGTATAGGCTGACGTGTAAAGACCCAGTTAAACCACACATTCATACAGGCAGACTGCTATTTATCACCCACGAGGCCAGAGTTTCCCATAAATCCTGTCACAAGACACATACACACGCACAAACACACACCTTGCACCCTTTTTGACATATTTTAGTGCCTTTCAACATGTGCATTTTAACAATAGTAAGATTGATTTAGTCTTGACATTCTTAAGACACTTTTGGCCCAAAAGGGAGAGAAATCCATGCAAACAATTTATTCAAAACCACATAAAGAGTGACAGAGTTTCTAAAAATGTGCCTGTCTGTCACTTGTATGTTTTCAGTGTCAATGTGCAAGCTTCTGGAAGATATCCAGTAAAACAAACATCCTCAATTTGCAATTAAAAGTGTAACATTTGCAGTAATGCATTAACTTACAGGCTTATGTTTATTCCTCCGTGCTCTCTTTAGTTCGTCAGCAGCTACTTTATACCAGCAGGCCATTGACCCTCCAAGTATTGCTACAACCACCGCTTCTCCTCTGCTTATTCCACAACTCCCCACCGTTGTCTTTATTGTCAGTGAGATATTTTATTTAAAACGTCAGCTCATGTATGTATAGGCCTATATATTTCTGCTCGCATGTGTTTTTGTCTGTTGTGTTTGTCGTGATCAGAGACAGAGCGAAGACAGGTTGTTTTTTTCACAGCCTGCCTATCTGCCAAACCCATCATTTGTGGCAAATGATCCGCTGCCTCGTGTCCCTCCATCTCGTTGTCACCTTGGCAACCGCTGCCGAGGTGAACTGCCAGCTGGGATAGCCGACCTCTGCTGGCTGCGATCCACAGAGCCGCAGTCCATAGCACTGCCACAGGATGTATGTGGCTGGGCTGACATACAGTGTATCAAATGTAGATGTAAAGTCCAACAACAGACTTACGTGCTGAGTTCAGTCAGTTTCAGATGGGTCAGCTTAACACAACTAAAACTGGAAATGTTGTTGGCTATTGATTTATGTTACAGTATAAATTGTAATGATAACTTAATGAAGCTTCTGGGGCTGCATCTAATGATTGTTTTAATATTGATGAATCTGCCCAGTTAATTTCTTGAATAATCATTTTGTCTTTAAACTGTAAAAAAAAAAAAAAAAAAGCAAAAGAGAGAGAGATTACCAATTATAATTTCCCACAGCGTAAGAACATGCATTCCAATAGTACATATGAAAGTCCAAAACTCAAAGATATTGAGTTTATTATATGGCAAAGAAAGTCATCAAATCCTCATATCCAAGAAGGTGGAACCAGCGAAGATTCGAGTTTGGATTTTTTTCTTGAAAGATTACTGTAATAATTGCTCGATTATCAAACATTTCTGTCAATCAGCCAGTCGGTTTCTCATCTTGATTAATCAACTGTTGCAGCACTAGAAGCTATTAATAAGAAAGCCCAGCATGAACCTTTTAAAAAGTTCCAAACTTTAAAACTTTATAATTAGGCTACTTTTTTCACTTATGTATAACTTATATATATGTAGATTGACTTAAATTCTAATGATTGGTTTATTTGACATCATGTTTAATATTTCACTGTGTGTGTGTGTGTGTGTGTGTGTGTGTGTGTGTGTGTGTGTGTGTGTGTGTGTGTGTGTGTGTCTCAGGAGGAACCTTAATGCCATTTCAGATCTCTTAACACAATTATTTCCTTATGTCAAATTTATTAAATAAGTAGTCTATTCCATGAAAATAAACACAGTGGAAAAAAATAAATAGTCCAAAATTATCACAAGAATACACAGCATACGTTCTTGCACATAAACTTAAGGGAATGTTTTCTATTTTTAAAAAAAAGGAAGTTTCCTATGAAGGAAAACAAACACAATACTGGAATCATTCTTTGACCATCTTAAACTGTGTCACAACATAAATCCACTGACACACAACACAAAAGTGAGAAACACGTTTGAAGGAAGATAAATTATTGCTTATTGAAACAACTTAATGCTGAATAAAGCGCATTATATCAATGTCTTTCATTTAAAAAAGACAAAAGCTTCAGCCTTGTCTAGCCTGTGGGACATCAACATTTGCAGCATAACAAGGGAACGTTTCATTTTTAACATTACAGTCATACAGAAAAACGTTTTCAGTTTGTACTTCTTGGCATCAAATTGATTAATGTTCTTTCTGGCTGCTCTTCTGGTGAACAAACATTGCCTTTAATAGACGATGAATTATTTTCTGTTCAGATTTTATTTACGCTTTTTATTTTCTGTCCCAAAGGCTGATTCCGATGATGCATAAAAGTAGACAGTTGTCCTGCTCTGAAATGAACACACACTGGAAAACATTATTGTTGTGGATCAAAGGACATGGGGATCTGTAAGAAAAGTTGATCAATCCTATCATTTAGGGAAACATGAAATATTTTCTCTAAACGTGTTTTCAAACACTTTCTTTCGCGCGTTCTTCAGATTTCTTGTCCGGCATTCTGTAGCAAGTTATTTCACGTGTCGCTGTACATCCTCTTGCAGTCAATGGAGGGTGACGGTGTGTCAGGACCCATGCTGCCCACCTGTGAATATGCGTCCTCTGGGGTGCGCGGCAGTCCAGGCGGCGTCATGCGCTTCTCTTTCTGCCTGCGGTTGCAGAACCAGACTCTGACCACCTCCTTCTCCAACTGCAGAGTGTCCGCCAGAGAGTTGATCTCCTGCGCGGATGGTTTGGGACACTTGAGGAAGTGGCTCTCCAACGCGCCTTTTACGCTCACTTCGATGGATGTGCGCTTTTTCCTCTTCCTGCCCTGGGTGGCGATTTTATCGATGCTGGTCGGGCTCCCGGTCGTGGAATCGGCCTCCTCCAGCCATTTGTTCAGCAGAGGCTTCAGCTTGCACATGTTCTTAAAGCTGAGCTGGAGCGCTTCAAACCTGCAGATGGTGGTTTGTGAGAACACATTGCCGTATAGGGTGCCCAAAGCTAAGCCCACGTCTGCCTGGGTGAAACCCAGCTTGATCCGCCGCTGTTTGAACTGTTTGGCGAAATGCTCTAAGTCATCAGACGTCGGGGTGTCCTCGTCTGAATGCGGTTCGTGGCTCACCCCGTGATTCTGGTGATGCTGCGTGTGGTGGTTATGGTGGTGGTGATGGTGATGATGGTGGCTGCTGTGGTCCAGCTCCGGGGACTCCCCTCGCACCAGCCCCGGGTGCATAAGGCTCTGCCCCGCGTGCGAGCTTAGCATCCCGTTGACTGTAAACCCTCCGGTCTGGGAATAAATGAGGGACTGCTGCTGCTGCTGCTGCCCCTCGGTGATGCTGATGTGCGCTGCGGAGGAGCCTCCCCAATTTCCCGTGTGCGCCTGATGGGGTCCCAGATGTGGGGACCTGTGGTGCAGAGCGGAACCTGAGTGGAGGTCCTCCCTGCCGGCGTTTCTCTTCACGTCTTGCGGCTGGGAGCTGGGGGGCCACGAAGAGCCGGCCTCGACTGCTGCCACCGCGGCCGCGGCTGCTGCGGCTGCTGCGTGAGGCAACGATGTCACCCACTGGTGGGCATGGCTTAACATATGGCCCCCGTTGCTCGCCACCATGGTTCCCTGCATGAAGTCACTCTGCACCATCTTTGCTGAAGGGTCCCCTCTGTATCCACTAGACACCGTGGTTACAGCTGTGCCGCCCGGCTGCATGCCACCCCTCCGATCAGAGTGAAGGACCGGGCCGGATAAAATCCTGCTGCTGGCTAGGTATGGACTCGAGGTGGCAGCTGCCATCCCCCAAAGCATATATCTTGAAATATACTTCTTCTTCTGATGTTTTGTTAAAGTCCCGGTTTATTCTAATCCATGAATAACTTCAGTCTATCTCAGCACTAGTACTAAAACTTTGCGCGATTGGTAAAAAAGTGCGAAATCACTCCATAGAGGCTCAAATGATATTTTTTAGTTATATAGCAGCTTGTGCGCGTGGAGACGTAACAAAACACACTTTCTTAGCATTCCTGTGCAACAAAACAATCGTCTTCAAAACTTCTCTCTGTCCCGGAAGCTCCTCCGTGCGTAATCCACAGACCTGATGATATAGAAAAACACCTTATTTGATCCGTGCTGAACTGAGGCTCACTTATAGCCCGTTTCTCTGAGAGTAACGTTGAACCGATTCAATGACAACGACAACAAATGTTAAAGCCTCTCCGGTCCTTTCGGTAGTTTCGCTCACTCCATCTGTTCTATCCAGTGCGTCCTCTACTGAGCTTAGGAGACGAGCGTGTGTTTACGTTGTGCCGTGGCTGCGTATTCCTCTCCCATCTCCATCCAATTACAACACAAAGGCTCTGCAGAGCTCCCGCTGATTGGACGCACAGAAGAGTTGTGTCTCGGCCGTACCTCGTGGGGAACGAAGTTCCTGCTTCAGGAAAATAAGCAACAACATGCTAGAAAATTTTTACAAAAGACAAAAAGACAGAGACAAAGAATACTGTGGCTATGTCTTTGTCGACGTGCAAAGTATGCTATGAATCATTTGGAGAAACACAGGGTAGAAATCCTTCAACGAAACAGACTTTCTTCCAAAATATAAAATACATTTAGATATGCCTACATTTACAGATAATATTTTTTATCATTATTATTGCAATTATTAATAAGAAATTCTGGGGTTATAACTAGGGAAGTTATAAATGCCAAACAAAACAGGGTTGTATATGCCTATATGGTTATCTCTTTCAAACACAGGGCAACCAAGGACTGTGTCAAGGATACTCAAGCTGGCTTTAGGTATATAGGAGGTTTGTACTCCTCTTGCATTTCAATGCGCTCTCCTTTTCATATGGTAAAGCAGAGGCCACAGTGGCGTGACGCGCAGCACTGGTGAGCGCTGAAGGTGCACAAAACCAGCCAACAGTTAGATTTTTCCATCCTCAAAAAACAAAAAACAACAAAACGGCTCTGGTGGGATGTTTCCATGCTGGGTCAGTTTATGGATTGCTTGTTAAATAAACGTGTCATGGGGAATAATTTTTTTTCTACCACGGGTTTGCCTCAGATTTAACGGCCTTCAGAGAGTTAAGCATCGACTGAGATGCATGAAGTTTTGTGAGTGGACGAGAGTGCCAGGTGCAGCCCAATAAATGTGCTAATTTATGTTTTTCGGCGGATTTGTCTTGGATCTTATCCAAAAAGTAAAAGATAAATAGTCACAAAAATGTATTTGCCCAACCTACAACATAAACTGAGCCTTTTTTCATAACATTTAAATTCGCCTACCCATCAGTATGTTCAGTTATGATATAGTATTAGAAGTATTAGAAACGTGATTTTAAAAGACGTGTAGCAACAGAAATACAATATATAATTTATCAGCAAAAGTAGATAGGTTGTGTCATATCCCATAATATAATTATCAGGCTTCTGCAGAGTGCTAAAAGGGATAATACAATGCATTGAAGTACTTTAAGGTCACAAAAAAAATAATACAGATTCAGAATAAATGTCAATAAACTGAGGAATTTTAAAAAGAGTAATTTTTATATGACTGTTTTCTTTTCTGTCTTACACTGGTAACATTTCGAAATAACCATAGAAACTGGTCAGGGGATTCTGCAATATCTCTTCAATAAGATGGCCAGGATGGCACTAGGGTTCCACCCTGAGGGAGCACAATGACACACTCATGCAACTCCTGACACTAAAGGTAGCATCAAAGGCTGCATAACAATAAATGACAATGACTGCAGTGAATATTCTGCTATATTTTAAAAGCTGGAAATCGATGTTTTACTCTTTAACCTTTGTAATGTAAGAGGAAATTAATGAGTCATTTAATGTTAGAGACCAACTTGAAGAAAGTTCCACTTTATGATAAGATACTATTTACTGTACATAGGGTTTAAAAGTTGTAAACAACTGGCTTCATTAATGGCTAATAAATGTTTACTGATTCTCTAGAGGTAATTTGAGTTGACAAGTTGTGAAATATCTCTTCTGCTGGTGTATTCCACTCCAGCAGAACACTTGATTATAAATGTTGACAAGTCATTAATATAGGATTCTTACAATAATCCCAGTATGTAGTCAGGAATGTTATAATGAATTAATAAATTAATTTTGGTCCAGCTCTGCAGCCCATGTTCACATAGTTTGGAGTCTTTTATAGACGTCTTGTCCATGGATTTAAGAGCTACCTAAAAAGGCAAAGCAGGTTTTCATGCACTACAAAAGCAGAAGGATTTATTTTTACCTGAAACACAAAATGTTTAGTGTAGCATTTAGGTTTTTTTTTTCTTTCACATTCCAGGCTTTATTTCCAACGCATTCTTAGTTACAGGGTCTTGGTTTTAGGAATTACCTTAATCAAAAATTCTAGACAAATGTCAGTAAATAGCAAATGAGAGGAGTGCATCAACATTAGGTTCGTCCAGGAATCTGTATCATAACATAGCTAATATATCACCAGATATCACAATTGTTGTTATGAAAGTAAAGATTTTGGTGTCGCAAGCACTCTCTCCCAGGCCTCCAGCACCTCCTGCCTGATCATTCTGTATTGCCAAAGATAACTCCTTTGTCAATAAATCTGCATGTGAAGTTTTATTGATGGCTTGTAACTGGTCTGTAAGATATGATTTATTAACCATTAATAAAGATGTTGACAACTTATTATAGTAAAAATATAAGTAATTAATTATTCCACAGTCTATATAACCTGTTTATTGTTCATCCATGTTCAGTAAAACAGTTAAAACAGAGAAGCTGTACGAAAACCACAATGTTCCCTGTTTCCAGCCTACGAGCACAGTGTAGAGAAAACCAGACGACTCAGGGAATGCAGTAATGTTTTTCATGTGTTGTGCTGGCTGGTCACAGCACTGGGTCCTCTATTTGTTATTCATGAAGGAAGCTGGGTGAAGAGGCCTTCTTATGATGCACATTTTTCTCTCCGCTCTCTCTCTCTCGCTCTCCATGAAACTGTTTGACAACTAAGCAAATAATCTGTTTTAGTTGTAGTGAATACTGCAATGAATCCAGCATAATAAGCATGACACCATCAGCTAATTGACATTATTGTTTCTTTTATATAATCTTCAAATCATTTATACAGAGACTTTATCGCGCTCTCTCTCTCCCTCTCTTTCTCTTTCTGTCTCCCACTCCTCGCCCTCTGTTGAGTCTTCAATATGCAGATCGGCCATTTCTGCCCCAGGGCTATTTTCTTTGGTAGACTTTTGAAATATGCAAATGCTTCCAACAAAAATTGCAAAGGGAAAAAGGAAAAACCTTCATCTGGGCTCCAGGAGTTTTCCATTCAAAGAAACAGATGATTTTCTCTTGTTCGTGCTCTTGTTCTTATTCCGTTTGCTTTGTCAGTCAAGGGTCTGTCTAATTAAGAAGAGAGAGAGAGAGAAACACAAACAAGGCACACAAAACAAAAATTAAGTTGCGGGGATGCATCTCCACATTTATTAAGTTTATTAATATTCTCCACAGAGGCTATAACAAGATCTCACTCTATGTGGCTTTTGGGCTGTCATCAGGTAATATTGAACACAAATATTGCTCTCTTTTTATTGATGCATTGTATAGGTTTGTATGTCCTGGAAGCTCTAAGACCGGGCAAATCGTCTGTGAGCCGTACAATGTGATGTTTACAGAACTGTACAGAACTGCCTGTCTACTCTAGAAACACTGCTGGGAGAACATAACTTATCATGCCTTTCATCCCTCTACTCTTTATATTCCACCTCTTCAACGTCCTCCTTTGGCTCTGATCATGAGTGTGTTTGACCTTCAACTCTCCCTGAGTCAGAGAGATCCTTCACAGCGTGAGTCTCTACCCACAACCCCCTGCTACGTTGTTTAAATCAGAAGCAGAGGCAGCCACGGAGAAGAGGGAGAGACACAAGGAGAGACAAAGTGTGGTAGTCGTGGTAGAGAGACAGAGTGGGAAACAGAAGCTATGGAGGGGAAATGATCAAAGCATTTCCATTTCCAAAGTCATCATTCACAGAGAAGGAGAAATGTGGGACAAATATGACCAATAATATTCAAGTTTAAAGGCAGATCTGTCTGAGGCTTG